GCTTTAGAAAGCCCTTTAAGTTAAAAGCAACAGAAACCAACACTAACGAATCAACTCCCATTTCAATATTATGAATATTAGGACATACTATGCCTCCTCCCTACTTCTGGGATGCAAAATTCCAAGGGAAATACATCTTCCTTCAATGTATGGAAACAGAAATAAAAAGATGGAATCATGAAGTAGAATTTTAGGACCAGTCTCCCACTGGTATCACCCCCTCTCCAAATGCTTCCCTGCCGCTGCCTCTGCCTCTCAGCCTCTCTGCAGAGGACATGGGTCAGCTTGGGGAGCATGTATGTCATAGAACCAAGGCTAGCATGAAAGGACAAAAACATGCAGAACCTGAATTCTACTCATATATCCATGAGAAAACAGAGAGCAAGAAAAGACTTCCAAAAAAGGGCTTAATGTAATTTCTGGAGAAATTCCTTTGCTATCTTTGACAAATCCTTCTTTACAAGGAGTGCCAGATAAAGCCCTGCAGTATTGCCTCTGGATTAGCCCAACTTTGAGAGCTGGGAACCTGGGAGCACTACAGATCGATGTTCCACCTCCCTGGGGGAGCACATTGCTTCCACTGTCCTGGCGTCCTGCAGGCCAATGGAGCACACTAAAATATCACCAGATTACTGATACATCCTTGCTATAAAGCAGTTAAAATTTAATTAAAAAATTGGATCCAACCTCATGCTTCTATAAAATAAAACATTATGCGAATGCTTTATAGAAATGGGAAATAATCACAAAATTTTCACAGCTACAGTATTAACAAAAATTCCCTGCCAGCAGCAGAATATACTTTAACTTCATGATTTGTATAAACTGTGAATGATGAGATGTAAATTATGTTGCCACTGAAAAAAGAACTGTATTCAACAGAATATTTTCTGCCTATAATATTATTATGGTTAACAACTTTCACACTGTTTTAGTAATGATCACAGAATCATAGAATGATTTGAGTTGGAAGGGACCTCAGAGATCATTTAGTTCCAACCACCCTGCCACGGGCAGGGACACCTCCCGCTAGACCAGGTTGCTCAAAGCCCCATCCAGCCTGGCCTTGGACACCTCCAGGGATGGGGCATCCACAGCTTCTCTGGGCAACCTGTTCCAGTGTCTCACCAACCCCACAGTAAAGAATTTCTTCCTAATAACTAATCTAAATCTACCTTCTTTCAGTTAAATGATTATTTAACATTCCTGTGGTCAAGCAAGATGAAGATAAATGTTTGCATACACACATTTTAAAATCAAATTTAGTTGACAGCTGGTTACTGTCTTGTTATTCTATTAGCAATAATCAGCGAGGTCAAATTATATTCTCTTTGATTTTGATATCTTTTTTATAAAGCCCTTTAGTTGCATAGAAGGCTTGCCTGGTAGCATCTTCTTGGCATACTTCACACATTCATTTCCTTAACATCGCCTGTTGGTCTACCCTCTTCTCTTCTGGTCACACACAACAGCTTATGCTTTTAAGGATGAAAATGCTTTGGTTTAACTGAAGTCTCTCAACGCAATGTGGCAGTATCTGGATAAGCAGGAGGTGATGAGATGATCAAAGGCCCCTTTGGCTGTAAGTGTTCTGAAACCTTTTTGATGTTAGTCCGTTTCTTCCGGCCCACGTTCAGACCAATAGAGTCTTTTATTTTCCACCAGATGTTTCTTCCATTCCTTCCGGCAAACTATATGAACAGATCAAGAACCTCCAGGATACATTCCTTTTTATCTCTATAAACTGCAGAGAAACCATGTACATTTTTCTCTCCATTTGTCCCTGCTGTATTATAAAGTTATATAGTGTTGGTGATGATGGCAGAAAGTACTGGAGAGAGTACACCACCAGCTAAGGAAAAGTTATTATGGGTGGGCTACGTTGCAAAGACAAAGTTAATGTCAGATCAAAGACTCTGTAAAAGTAAGCCCTGAATTCATACAAAACATTTGTTATCAGATCATATTTCCCTATGTATCTCTCAGAAGGGCTTGCCTCCACAGCTTCCACAGCATTATGCTGTTTTCAGCACCAGCATGGTAGCAGTGCTACAATAGCTGTATATAAACTAATAACATGTTTAAACTCATCCTTTAATCATCTGTATTTTGTTAATTTTCTGCCAGACTCATAATATTCCACCTATCAAATTCTGGGTTACTGCATCTCTCTTCTACTATTTATAAACACTGTCACGTACTGGCAGCCTAGGACAGTCACAGTTCCTTTACCATAACTATGCTTTGACATTCTTCTTACATTTCTAGGCTAGTCCTAACTAGTTCCTTCAAGATTAACATAAACAGTGTTTCAAATATGCTGCTATCAGATTCCCAGCATTAATTAAAAAAATATCCTTCAGATATGGATTTAATTTGCATCCATGCATTCCGTAGCAGGCTGTTCCATCCCAATTATTTCACGTTGAAAAGCCTCAGTATAAATCTCCGAAAAATGAGTATTCTGAGACCTGCTCTACTGCTCCTAAAACCTGTTTAAACCTTGTGCTATTAAGCAAAGGAAAGATCTCAATGTCACTTTTTCATTATGGGTCAACATATGACTAAGCTGTATGTTTACACTGATAATAGCTGTATTATAAATATTTACATGGATTATATAGTTAGCAGTAAGGCGTAAGCAGTGCTAACTGTATGCGTCACTCCTGTGCTAAGTGTACTTGGGTTATGAAAACCATGTTTTTGTTTATTTCTCCCTTATTTTCTTTCCAAGTATTGGATTATCTTTCCAATCAGGCCAGCCATAACTAGGAAACAGAACCTATACTGTTAATAGTTGCTTAAGTGGAAAAGGGATATTGTCTTACATGAACTCAACCAACCTTTTATGGGCCAGCCCTTCAGCCGAAATAAATTGCTATTCTTACTCAAGAACGTCTTTCATGTTGAGGAAAGCTGGGTAATGACACACATGGGACATGTATGACAAGGCTAAAGAAATAAATTTCACCAACTTTTGAATTTTTCCATAAAAATGTACTGCAGTTTGTGAATAGTATTTCTCATTTTGTTCAATTTTATTGATAAGAAAAATGAACATTCAGACAAAAAAGTAAAAGAAATCCATAAGGTAAACAGTGGCGTGAGAAAGAGAGCAGCACGTGGTTTTTTTTCCTAACTAGCTATTTATGTAAGTATTAAATAATCCAGAAGATCTCAGTTTTTTAGCAAAATTTGTGTAAAACAAGAAAAAAACAAATTTTAAGAACCTAATGGGTATAAAATCCCACCCTTGGGTAAAAAGTACAAGAATGGTGTTGGTTTTTTTAATCTGCCTACATATGTGGCCCATTAATTACAGGATCTGGACAAATAATTCATTTACTTAGATTCCAGTTGTTCCTGTGTCTTCTATTATCCCTGCCGTATCAATAAGGGCTGCAGAAGATGGAATATTAATAAATGATTGCTCAGGCTGACCCAGGAAGTGAACTAAGAATGAAATCCAGATCTTCCAGGTCCCAGAAGAGAACCACAACCTCAGGAGTTGTGCATCCGGTAATAAGATCTGGAACTGTACTCCAGCAACAAATACTGCATCGTTAAGAATTATGAACTGGAATTATGATTGCATGAAAATGGAGTATGTTATTATAGAAAATGGTGCCAATTATAGAAAACCTGGTGTATGTTAGAAAATCTATCAGTCTAGGCATTTATAACTCCCACATCCTGCGATTTCTATGAATTATTATGATTAGCATTAATTGAAGTAACAGATCTAAATGTGCCAAAACTAAGGAGCTTAAGATAATGTGTCTAAATGGTGGCACACACTGACTCTGCCCTCCTCTTTTGGCTTCTGTTCATTCTTGGAAGAGAAGACTATGCTGAAGTTGCTTGTCTTGGCAAAGTCTGCTTCTTTAACTTGATCTCCACCCTATTTCTAGGAATTCAGCCCTTTTCATACCTGCCAGTCTGCTGAGCTGTGTGCTGTTTTTGGAAGGGAAGAATACAATTTTCTTATAAATTCTATGACATACTTGTATGAATTGCCAAAACGTTCTATGAAACCAAAGTGCCACATAAATGACGGCAAAATAGGGCCATTTACATGTAGCTTTGGCTATGGATTTTGTATGATTCATTTCTAGTCACATATTTGCACCCTCAGCTTCCCAGTATTGCCAGTATTTCCACGATAACCTATTATTTCAGCCATTTATAATTTGCTCAATGTTTTCCCTACTGAATAGCAACAATAAAGCTTGCAGTCTAGATATCTATGTCAAAATTGGGGAGTAACACTTAACACCAGTGACTAGTACTTTACACAAGTGAAATTAATGTGTTCATCCAATTGCCTTTAATGCTTGAAAAAAATTAAAGCAGTTGAACTATTAAACTTACAGAACTAGTTACTGTTTTGCATGTGCAGTTAGGACGTTTTCAAAGGGAACCTAGTTATGCATTTTAATGGTAAGCAGTACCAGCTACTGATATTTTCACAGGCATTATTAAAATAAAACACAATTCAAAGCCTTTCAGCTGGGATGTTGGGCACCTTTTATCACATACAGCCGCCATTTCACCAAAGCATACTGAGGGTTTCGTGTAGAGGGTTTTGTGAAGAAACCCATGTATTGCTCACTCTTCAAACAACCCTCTCTTATCTTCGCTAATTTGTATTCGCCTCAACACCTGCCCCGCTGCCTGCCGAGCAGATAAAAGCTCACAGGAGGCACTCGCCCCCCCCTCAGTAATTCCCTCAGCATCTTGAGGGAGATGACAGCCAGGGAGGGAATATGGCGCTACGCGACTATCAACGCGCCTTCTGTCGCCCCGGGGCCGCACTACCCGCCGGGGCCCGGCTACTCTCCGTCAGTCCTAACGCCGGTGCCCGTGCCCCCTCAGCGGGGCTGCCGAATCCGCGGCCGCCCCCGCCCCGGGCCCAGCCGCCTTCCCGCCTCCGCCTCCCCTCCACAGGAGGCCGGGGGCGCATGCGCGGCGCGCGCTGAGGGCGGGCCCGCAGCCCGCCGCTGGCTCACGTGGTACGGCGCGAGGTTCCGGGCCGCCGCCGTGTGAATGTGAGTGCTGAGGAGGGGAGGGGGCGCGCGCTGCTGCCGCCGCCGGGCGGGGAGGTGGCAGCCGGCTCCGCGGCGCCCTGCCGCCTCCTGCCGGCGGGACCGGCCCCCATGGGGCGGTGTGAGGGTGGGAGCCGGCCGGGAGGCGAGAAGGGGAACGAGGGGCACAGCCCGCGCCGGGGTGCGGTGTCCCGTTGTGGCGGCGGCCCCAAGGGGCTGCAGGGCGGCCGTTAGCTCGCTGGAGCTGCCTCCTTGTAAGTTGCTCTCGGCCCAGCTGGGCGCCGCCCGCCGCCGGGAGCCGAGTGGCGGAGCAAAGTTTACGGAAATGAAGTTTCGGAAATGGCAACAAATATCTGATGCCACACACTGTAACGGCTCCTAGCGCTTCCCTCTCCCTCCCGCGTCTGTGGGGCTTGGAAAGGCTTTAGAGGCGGTGGAAGGAGGCGGTGGCTGGAGGGGCAGAGGGTGTCCCTCCCGCAGCGGCCGGGATGTCACCGTGCCGGGTCCCCGGGCCCCGACCCCGGGCCGGGCTCGCTTATCGGCGCGCTGCAGCGAGCGCTGCCTGGGCGCAGGGACACCCTAATATGTACTGCATATTACCTCCCTTCATACTTATTTACTTCGTTTCGCTTCAGCAGTATTTTTTGTTGATTACGTACATAACTGTTTGTTAGTTTTGGATTTGTTGGGGTTTTTTTGTTTGTTTGGGGTTTTTTGTTTTTGTTTTTTGTTATTATTTGACCGGAACTACATTCCTTCCTTCCTTGTTACAATAGAAAACAAACAAACAAAAACACACAACTAAAAACCAACCAACCAAAAGCCTGGAATTGACTTGTACCTCTATCAAAGAAGGAGTAGTGACAAATGTACCTGAACTGTGTTTGGTAAACTTTCTTCCATTCGTATAAATATTGGGTCTAAGTAATTCAGGTGTTTATAAATAATGTGTTTCATCACAGCAGGGTTGGTTTAATTTCCTGAGAGAGCGCAATTTTGTTTGTATTTTGTTTGTTCAAGGAGATTTGAGGTCTGACAAAAGTTAAGATTGTGCTTATACTAGAAAATGTGTATTTCTGAATTGTTAGCTTATTTAACCAATATTTAAAATTTATTTCATTGAGAAGTAGGCTCCCTGCCCTTCCTTTCTCCTACAAACTCCAGACAGTTTTCCCCCCAAAGCAACACAAACTAAAGAACTAAACTTCTAAGAGCTCTTGTGCTTCACAGTTCTGAAGCGGAGTCAGGGAAGCATTGGTTTTAATTATATTAAAAAATTCTTGAGATAAATGGAGGAGGATTGCGTTCTGGTATAATTACCCAATTTTAGGATTGCAAGTTTTATATATGTATTTATATATTCTGGTATAATTACGTAGTTTTAGGAAGTGTAAGTACTGCAATCAAGTTAAAAAAAAACCAACCCAAAACCTCTGACCCTAATTAAAGTAGTTAAACGATAATATTAAAGATATTAAAACTCTTAACTGTGGCCTTATCTGAAGTCCACTGTTGTTCTGATATGTTTTTATCTTTTAAAACTGTGACATCCTCTCATTTTCGCCAGTACAGTGATATAACTATTTTTGATTATTTTACTCCTCTTACCTTGAATTATGTGTAGGTGTATCCTTGTATTTTGAGACATAGTTACTAATTACTGTCTGTTTTGAGATGGGGCTAGTAAGAATGTTTAACAAGCTTTTCTGTGTCCCTTTCCTTGCACAAAACTGGGAAAGGACTTCATGTGTTTATTATCTCCCCTCAAAATATTATGATAAAGTAATTCTGACTAACGGACCACTGAGGTTCAGCAAGAGCTGATGCTTCAGAGGAAGAAATTATCTATTGACATATTTTTTTTCTTTCTAGCTTGCTCAAATATGCTTTATCTGTTACATATAATATAATCAAATATGTTTGATTATATAAATATAATCAAATATAATATAATATAGAATTAATATTATATATAATATAATCAAATATGTTTGATTATATAAATTTAGAGATAGATAAAACTATTTTTGTGTTTCTTTTAGGTTTTCCAAGCAAAAAAAAGCAGTGGTGACATGTTGCTGTTGTGGTTCCTGGATATATCCTGAACAGATTTTTTTCAATGAAGGAAAACTTAGTAATTTCTAATTTTCATAAAAGTGTTCAAAGGTTCCTGCGTTTTCTGTCTGTTCTACACTAAATGGTTTACTGATTTGGCAATTGCAACAGTATTTCTATTATATAAAACTTATATATGCAAATCCAACTCCTTTTGACTGTGTATTTATAATCAGCTTCTTGACTAGAGTAAGCTGTAACCATGAAAAGGTTTTTTCTGGCGAGTTCCGTTTCAGGAGCTGATTTGTACTGCACTATGCAAAGACTGGTGTGATCTTTGCTTCCAGAGGAGAAAATAGGCGGTATCACTAGTATATGTGTTACAAATCAATCATCCTCACCATGGATGAGGCCTTAGTTCTGAGGTGTGTGAACAAGCCACTTCCACAGTGGTTGCCATCCGAAGGTAATGGAGAAACTGAAAGATCCTGCAGGAAGGAATGAGTTTAGTGGTAGCTTAGTCAGATAGTGACTGTATATTCAATAATTTCCTGGATCACAAACTGAAGAGGTTTTGAAGACTTTGTTACATCAAATAATGCTTCTCATATTGCAACTACAGGATTTTTTGGGGTCTTTTTTTAACTTCTGTCTTCTTTTTCTTTCGGCTGGGGTCACTGTTTTTGTTCAGATTCTGGTTGCTTAAGTCACTGCTGTATGACACCCAATGTGTAAATTGCCTGCGATGCATCATATCAGCTTGAGGGTCAAGCTGGTGTCTGAAATGCATAATATAATTTCCAGAATAAGTCATCCAGTCCATGCTTGGTCAGTTTTGTTGTATTGATGGAAATGCTGACAGAGGAAACGTGCAGCTGAAATCATCCAGTCCATGCTTGGTCAGTTTTGTTGGTATTGATGGAAATCCTGACAGAGGAAACGTGCAGCTGATTGTAGTTGTACTTGGTGGTGGAGTAGCTCCTTAGAACTGAAGGGCTCTTTGGGCAATTAGACTGACCTCTGCTAGAATTAAAACATCCAAGTTTATAGCTCCCTGAGAGCGGCCTAAGGAAGCCCGTTGGTTCTACACGCTGTGTGGTGTTAGGAAGCATTGTTTGCTGTGTTTTTATGGCTGACTGAATAATTTGAAGATTTTGAATTAGAAGTGGATGCTATGTAGGAAATGAAGGCGAGCATACAAGATATAGTTACCTTAAGCATTATTAGAGCGTTAGTAGTCTCAAATAATGAGAGTATAGCAGGTGTTTGCAATGATAAGCCTTAAGGAAAAGTCCAGTGGATGCTTGTTCTAATGTTTAGATTTGTATATTGATTCTAATGAGATTTAAATATATTACAAATATATATAGTAAATTAATTTCTCTTTTGGGAATGAAAAAGTGATATTGCAAGTTAATAATTATAATGAAACAATTTGAATAACTGTATTTTAACTGAGGAATGGACAGGTTGCAGTGTTTAAGTATTTTTCTTTTTAGATTAAGTAGCAGTAGTCAAACTAATCAGGCAATTAAAAGGCTATTGCTTAGTGTCTCAGATGCTCATACTTCAGAGGTGAAGCAGAGTGTGAGATACTCTAAAAAGAGAATTTTTGACATTTGACCTAGTCTCTTCTATTCTTTCCTCTGAAAGCTGTCTCATTTATTTTGGGATAAGGTGGCTGAAAGTATTCTTGGCACGTATTGTTTAAGATGTAGGTATTTTATTGTGAATAGTAATTGTCAGACCATTCAGAAGAAAATTTTCAGCTTTAAGTTGTTAGCTTAAAAGCTTATTTTGTTAAGGGCTTCTTTTTAGTGCTACATCAGAGGATTAAAAAACTATAAAATACTTTCAGTTTTCACGCTGAAGCAGACAAAAGAGGTAGAGAAACTTCCCTGTTCTCACAAAAAGTTTTGAAGAACACAAAATGTGGCATATTAAAAAAAAGGCTTTGTGAGGTAGCCTTTTATGCGGTCATTTTATGTTGATATTTACCTTTAAATTGTTTCCTTCAGCAGGGTAGTTACTGACTTAAATTATGTTGAAACATTTGTGTTACAGATGTATGTCTTCTCATACCAAATTCTGAAATGCTTTGTTTTTTCAGTTTAAAGTTCAGTATTCCTTTGTGAATGAAAGCACATTATGCCCTTTAAAGGCCATTAATCCAGAAGTCATTCTTTATAAAGTAATTACTTTTATAATTATGTCAGAACCTTGTCTTTTGTTATGAACTATGCAATTGACTACACAGTTCAAAGCTTATTGTAACTGACAGCTTGTGGTTGACCTTCTTCTTGCATACATATTAAATATAAACAGGATGATTCATTATGTTTCAAATTTTTGAGTTTTTTCTTGCATTGTTTTTTTTTTCTGCTATGCCTGCTTTTCCTCCTCCCCACTTCTTCCAAAGTTTAAAGGCAATAGTAAAAGGATTTACAGTTTGCTGATTCTTCCTTTGTAGGACTCCTCTTTTGCCCTAAAAACACTGTTTCTGTTTCATTCTTTACTTGGATAAATCTTTGTACCCTGAAACTGTATGTTCATAGACAAGTAGCGTGGGCCTGTTGAGGCTTATCTGTAGTGTGAACTGGTTTATGCTCAGGATCTGATATTCACTCTTTACATGTTTCAAGTCGTTTTGACATTGGTCTAGCTCTAATCGGGACACAAGGCTGAATGCCCGGGCTTTTTCTGGAGTGCACTGGTTTTTCCTGGAACACATCTCCTGGTTTAGTCTCATCTGGAAAGAGACTAGTTAATGGACACTCAGGCCACTCCATGATGTAAACCACAGTGAAGTCAGGAAGGGCAATGGAGAAATTCACTTCAAAAAAAGTCATATTCCTGATCTGAACTGGAAGAGTAACCCTGGGATTTTTTTCTGTCAGTGAAGAGTTGTACAATGCTAAGGTACCTCCATTACAAATCCTTTGTGCATAGCAACCAAAAGAACAAAGCAATTCTAGAGGGAAGATTGGTGGCTCATCTGAAGATCAGGATGTGCAATGTAGATAACAGGAAGATCTGTAGATCACGGCTGCATTCACCCTTGATGGGAATGAGATCTTATTTATCTCCATCTTTTCATAAAAATCTAGGCTTATGTTACAGTGTGATTTTTTTTTTTGTTAAATTATTTTTATTTTTTAAGAAGGGCAATGGGCTGCATTTTGCTTCACATAAATCAAAATTTCAGGGAAGTTCTGTCCATTTTGGGGGGAGTAAGGATGCAAGGAAATACTCCTAACTTCAAATTAACTGCTATAGGAAAAGACAGTATAGCATTTCATTTTGACTAGTATTTACTAAAATACTTACTTTATAATATGATTTTTTCAGTAATATGAAGTCATAATATTTTATGGTTGCCAAGTGAGCAAGGGGGGTTGTCACAGTAAAAATAGAAGTTTAAATGCTTATACTTGGTCAGTACAAAACAAACAAATTCCAAGAATGTTTAGTTCAGACATTTATCTTGAGTAGGTGACAAAAATGCAGACACGTGGCAGCCTAGATGCAAGACAAATGTCCATTTCAAGTCTGTTCTGGAAATTTGTACATTTTGAAGTGGGTGGCATGTTTTCAAAGAAGAAAAAGGAATAAGTGCTTGATTGTTTCAAGCCTCATTAGACTTTTAATAAACAGAGTAGAGGCTGAGGAAGAATGTTCAAACAGTGGAAAGCCCTATATATTTTAAGTGAGCTGCATTCCATAAGGCTCTCAAACAACTACTGTTTTCTATGTATTTTTCCTTTATAATCAAACACATAGTGTGTCTTGGCTGATTTATAATACAGGGCACTACTGGATTCATGGTGTGAACCATTCCCAGTCATGTTACATGATTATTGTACAGATACATGCTGTCTGAGGGTTTCTTATTCCTAAGATCATGTATGTTAAAAGTATTAAAATTGGGAATTAAAGAGTATCAAAATGGGGGGGACTTTAAAAGTAAGGCTGTAGTATTTGACAATTTGAACAACGTGATATGGAAAGATTTTGAGGTTTCCACATAACTTGTGTATAAATGATGTTCACTTTTAAATTCTAACAATTTTTATGTCAACTGATTTGTGGTGGGGAAAAATTTAGCTGTGTCAGTGGTACGAGAAAAGTCAGAGGTTTGGGCAGATTTTGGTATATCTGGTATCAGAGCATGTAATGTGGAAAAAAAAGAATGACAGTGATTAAGCTTTTGATTATCTTAAGTACTTTTTTTTGGTCACTTTGACATTAAAAAGTCAAAGGCTGACAATATGAATTGTCATCTGCAACAATCAATTTACACTTAAAGAGGCCTTAGCTCATTTGAACTTTGTAGGGGCTACATCTGTGGTCTCTGTAGTTAAACTGAGCATTAGAAACCAATGTTCAAAGGCACCAGTGGAGTTAGTTATATGTTCAAGAGGCCTGGTATAAAGTGTGTTTCTGCTGTTTCCACTTTGTTTTGGGCAAGCCTTAGATGTCATGTAGTGTCTCTGAGATTAGACCATGAGAAAAAAAAATGCAGTGAATTCCTTCTAATGTAGCAAACCTATTACTTGCATTCTGTTCTACTACAGCTGTTTGGAGGCTGCTGCCAGGGTTTTGGTTTTTTTTCCCCTCTTAAAGTGCTATAGTAAGCATAAACGTAACAAAGAGAAATCTGGATACTATAGTAACTTAACTATTAGAAGTGGCATTAGTTAATTATGTGCGTGAACTAGCATGGCAGTATATGCTCCTCTCACTTAGATAGAAGTAGAGGAGGTAGGTTGGTCCCTAAGCGATCATCTTTGATGTTAAACCCTGTGCAGGTTTCGTAGTTGCTTTTGCTGTTAACAGGATAATGCCATTCAGAAGTCATTTCCTTCTTTTCTATGTGTTCACTTACAGTGTGGTGCAACCTGATCAAATTATTAATGATTCTCTGAATAGCTAAAGAAAAATGTTTAGTAAAGTGCTTGCACCAGTGGTTTGTAGAAATGTGCAATGTAGTAAATCCTAATAGGCATAATGTGGAATGTTAAACTTTGTGCCTTGAGCGGTTGTCCTTTTCTTCTTATAAAGTTGTTGGTTTTTTCTGCTGCCCTCCAGAAGAATTACGTTGTTGCTTGTTTATCTAATAAAAATGTTTACAGAGGAAGCATTTGATAAGATGAATTAGAAAGGAATTTAAGCTAAATAAAAAGTTACTATATTAGCAACTTACTCTGTTTTATAATATAATGGAAAAGGAGGTGAATGGGGATTGAGATAAGAATTCTGTATACATACAGGTGTTTCAGGAAGTTTCATTTGAAACCTGATGGTGACTTTTTGAAGAGTAAGTGTATTTTGCTGGTTCTGCTTTGTTGATAATTATATGAGAAATAATGTATTGTGTATCTTCAATAGTTTAGCAAAGAATGGGCATCCTAGAGGTGGAGAAGAGTGGCCACGCAATTGTTATACCACCTTGGAGAGTTTTGAGAACTAAAAATCATACTGGCCATGTAGAGGTAGCCCTCAGAAGCTGCTTGAAGTTCAGGCTCTTCCTGTCTGCTGCAGGTGGTTCCACTCTCTAGAAAATCCATATCACCTTTATGTTGTATTCTCCAATGCAGCTTCCTCCCTCCTCCCTTCATAGGCTTGCACAGGTTATCTCGGTGCCCTTTCTCAATTTGTCATAGTAACACTATTGTTAGCTAGATCTAGAACTCTCTTAATCCTCCTATTTTGCTGTAACTGAAAATTTTATGTGCTGTTCTTGTACATGTTTTCCTCCTACAGATATTTTTTTTTCTCCATTGCATGCTTTTAAACAAAACTTTGAATTCTAGTCGCTAGGAAAGCTGTAACAATTTTCAAAGTTTACATTTAGGCATACTTAGCTGTGTCTCTGTTACTTTTTGAAATGGTAACTTCAAATTTTCATTCTTAGCTTGCACTGAATATTTGTAAAAGTTGGAAAAATGGTAATAAGAAAAAAAATTATGTAGCAAAGATGCGAAGCCTGAAAACCAAGACTCTGGAGAAGAACTTTTAACTGCTTTCCTTCCAATTTTAATAATTGTGAGTGAATCAGGATATTAATGAGAACATGTCTAGAACACCCAAGAATCTTGTAGATAAGGTAAAGCCTGTCCAGGAACATGAAAGAGAGGTTTCAGACTTTTTTCTCCCTCATAATGCTTGTCTGGATTATCTGTATAAATACCTTTTATTTGTGTCTTATACCACTTAAAGTTCTGGGGTTTGTTTCTCACTTGAATTTTTGTGATTTTAAAAAGGTCTCAGCTGATTAGCTTGAAGAATTTGCTATTTAAAAAAAAGTGATGAGCTTGAAGACACCCTTGTATATGTATAATAATGCAGTTATCTTTTTTCTTTCAGAATTCCCAAAACTTTTGTGGTTTTCAATTCAAACAAAAGACTAGAAATCAGAATAATCTTCACATTTCTTTGAATAAGAAGTCATAATGCAACGAAGGCAGGGAAGAGTCAACGCTGGACTGCTTTTGCTGCTTTATCAAATTTCTCAAGTTGGACTCCAGAACATTCCTTCTGTTACCCTTGGGGTACTTGTACTGAATATTTTTCTCTTTCTGAACCCTGTGAGGCCACTGTCTGAAGTGTGCATCAGTGTAAAGGAAGGCTTCTACAGAAAGAACTGGCAGCGTTTACTGCTTTCTCCTTTCCATCATGCAGATGACTGGCATTTATATTATAACATGGTTTCCATGCTTTGGAAGGGGATAATGCTGGAAAAAAAGCTTAAGAGCATATGGTTTGCATACATAATTGCAGTCTTTTCATTGCTGATTGGAGTTGTTTATATGGTGCTGGAATTCATGCTTATGAAAATTCTGGATGATCCTTCGTATGAAATGAATTGTGCTGTGGGTTTTTCAGGTAAGGTATAGAATTAGAACAGTTTACATATGTGAAATTAATATTTATAGGTCCTATACAGCAATATTTGTTGAATGCAGGAAGCGGATAGGTGTACATCTGTATACATGTATGTGGTCACTATATCAGTAAAGTTATCCTATTTTTTAATTTAAAGCATGTACTTTGGGTACACCTGTACTCATGCTGTCATTGGGGGCTAGCATTAGAAGGCAAATCCTCTCTTTCAACCTCTGAGAAAGGTGCTTTGGCACTTCTAAGGGTTCCTTGTGGTATTCGAGTTGGAATGTCCTGGTAGTTGCTCAATTGGAGCTTCAGATATTCTCTGCTCACCCACCCTTTGGTAACGAGACATGCTGAGCTCTAATATTGGCCTGGATGGTGGCTGCAGGGGCACTGAGTGCAGCCTCTTTCCCTGAGGGGTTTTTCTGTCTGTGCTCAGAAACAGCTCTGATATGGGGCAGCTGCAACCCTCCTGAGACTGGTGAGAAAAGAGGTGTGTGAGATGGCTGAGAGAAGCCTCACCAGGGGCTTTTTCCCCCATTGCTCAGCAGCAGCTTAGAAGCTCAAGCCCTCTGTATCATCCTTGCCTGAGCTACGTTGCATCTGTACCTCGCCGTGTGCTTCTCTGGCCTCGGCCCTGACTGGACTCCCTGACTTTCTTTGTCAGGTCCTGCTTTGTCAGGAGGATGAGCCTGCTGATCTTGGGTCCTGGCCAGCCCCACCTGCCGTCACCAGCCCACTCTGCGCACTTTGCCCAAGGACTATGGGACTGGGCCCCTACTGGGGAGGTGGGTGCCAGCCTGCCTGCCTCCCTGTTCCCTTTGGATATGCTTCCTTTGAGCATCATGCTCTTGCTGCTCCCTAACAGGGACTGCAGGACCCTACTGAATATCTATTACTAGTGGTAGAATGACTGAAATAGGTACACCCAGTCCAGTCTCAGCTGGATGTTATAGGGTTAGCTTTTATATACTACTTCTATAGGGTTAGCCTTTATACAGTTCGCCCAACACACATCCCTGTTTATATTTGATCCCAGAATAACGATGTTTACATCACTGGATAGATTAAGAAATTTTGCCGTCTTTTGTTTTTTGTGGTGTTAAAAGGGGAGGGAAACCTTTTCCATGTTTTTATTTGATATATCAGTATTGATGTTCAACTCTGCTATCTTTTCCATGTCAAATCTTTTAATTGTTGATTTTTCAGAATTTTTTTTTACAACTGTATGAACTTTGTCTTGAGAGAAACTTCTTCAAAACCATTTTGAAAGTTGCATTAAATTGTGTGAACTCATTTTGTCATATCAGCTATTGCTTGCATGATAAAACAGTTGCAGTCAATTAGAAATGAATGATTATTTAGTGTAATTAAAGGTGATTTATCTACTTTTTTTGAGAAACAAGTGATTCTGGAGTATATGTAAGATGATTTTCCATTAATTCAAAATTTGAGCCTACTGTTGAGCTTCACATGCATTTATTTGTCTTGTTTTCAATAATGGCTTTTCTCAACCCACAGAACATTTTTTTTGAGTTCAATAATTTTGTCAATATTTCAACTAAAATTTCCATTTTAAAATTGTTTGTACCATTTTGAATACCTGGATAGCTACAGTAAGAAGGCATATTAAAAAACAACTCAGAATTGGCTGTTATACAGATATGTACATTTTTTCCTTTTTTTTTTTAAGTCACTGAAAACTATCACTGAAAAAACAGCTTAGAACTGTTTTTCTAGCATGCAACAGAAATGGTTTGTGGTGCTGTGAAACTGCATGGTACTTCAGTTTCAGTAGTTATGTTGTTTGCATTTCTTTGTTTGTGTGCAAGTACTTCTTTCTTCTTAAGTACTTCTGGTTTCTTCTTGCTTGCAGGAGTCTTGTTTGCTTTGAAAGTTCTCAACAACCATTACAATCCAGGAAGAGTCAGCAGTGTTCTTGGAGTGCGGATACCCAGTAAATATGCTTGTTGGGTGGAGCTGGTGGCTATTCATTTAATCTCCCCAGGGTAAGTACATTTGATGTTTCAGAGGTAGGAGAAGAGATTGGGCCATCTCAAACAGTTTGAACTGTGTTATGAAATGAGTGTAGTGTTAGCTGGTATTTAAATGGAGCGTTGGGGCTGCGGTTAAGTGTTGAGGTTACAGTTTGCTTTTTTCCTTAACACCCTGTATGCTGACTACATTTCAAAATAAAAAACTGACATACTGTGCCCAGAAGGTATTACTAAGAATTTGAGGGGAGATAACAAAAGTTGATGGACAAGGAAAAGGGACATGTGTCTTCAGCAAAGTAAGTAAACTAATATGCTGTAGCACCAAGGGCTTCATTAGAAAAACAGCATTCCACTGTTTGCTTTCTATTTCTGTCCTAATCCCTTTTGTCCATTTGTTATAGTCACTTCTCTAGTTTATGATAAAGCTATCATCCAGTGTTCTGCACATTTTATGCAGTTTTATTGTCCTACAGTCTTGCCAATCGCCTCCCTCAGTTGCTTGACTGCAGAAATGTCTTTGGGGTAGAAAGCGTATAGACAGTCCAGAAATAATGTCTAAAACCTTTTCATAATTTTGTAGAAGCTTAGATTGCTGCCTGATCTGAACAACCTCTACACGGTTATATGCAGTCCTGATAGGATAGTTTTACAGCACTTAAATAATAATGGGGGCCATAGAAAACAAGTTGTAATCTCCAGAAATTCATGTCCCAGAACACAGCATTTTTAATTAGTAACTGCCAAGTGCCTTGAAATGAACCATAACAATTGTAGCTCTTAGAGCATTGCTCTTGCACGCTCATCTGTGTGCTGAGGGCATGTTGTAATATTTGAAGTGTCTGATTAAATGGTGTCCCTTTGTAGATCTAGTTGCATAATTTAGTTTTGAATAGATAAGAGGTTAGTAATTGGGGCAGAACTCTGTCCAGACAGAAAGGCATGTGATAAATTTGGGTCTGCCTTAGTGGAATGATGTATAGGGATCCCCTGAAAATCCATACCAATGAAGGATTCAAAAATTATATTGAGACTGTTGGAAACTTTGATTTTTGTGCTGTTCATTGATGAGAACTTTCCCTCAGGAGCAAAAGGGCTAAGAACAATCAACCAACCAAAAAACTCCAGGTTTGACAGGAATGGCATTACGTGTTGAGAACCCTTTCATAGCCTTTTATTCTTTTGTTAAACTTAGCTTTTCCTTTTCTATGCTATTTACCCAACATTTTACAAAACTACTAACAAGTTTTCCATTTCCATTTAAAGAAGCAAGAAGCAATGGCATTTTCCTGTATGGGGCTGTGTAAATGTACTGGTTTGACTTTTACTTATGCAGTCATTTCATTTGGTTTAATTTGCATCCAGGTAGGTTGTTTAGCACTGGTAAATTGACTACATGGCATACTTTCTAAGCAAGATTAAATTTTGTAGCAAAGTGTATAAATTGTTATGGGCAAGTGATTCTGTGCTTGTGTTAATTTGGAAATAAACTAGGTATAAATACTTGGACTTGATTCCCATGATCTCAAAAAATTTATTGTTTTTCAAAAATTAAGTTGGTCTACATCTTTCTAGTATATCATTTTGATATTATTCCTTTGTTTGCTTGTTCAGCAAATGCATACTTCCTAGCCTTGGAGTAGGAGATGGGTGGAAGTAAGACCTTTTCGCAAAAGACTGCAGCAGTGGCTTAAGCTACTTCTGTTACAGAATCACAGAATTGTGGTGGTTGGAAGGGACCTCAGAGATCATCGAGTCCAACCACAAAAACAAAAAAACAAAAACAAAAACAAACCACCACACCACCCACCACCTAAACACACAACAACAACCAAACCAAAAAAACCATCACCCACCCACTCAGCAGCCCACGACAAACCAATAATCTTGGGCACTAGAGCATGCCCTGAAGAAACATGTCTACACGTTTCTTAAATACCTCCAGGGATGGTGACTCCACCACCTCCCTGGGCAGCCCATTCCAATGCCTGACAACCCTTTCAGTAAAGAAATGTTTCCTAATATCTAACCTGAACTTCCCCTGGCGTAACTTGAAGCCATTGCCCCTTGTCCTGACATCTGTAACTTGGGAGAAGAGAGAAGAGACTGTTGTTAAGTGCACAGGTTTGTCCTGTGGGAGAATTGTGTGCATAAATAATAATGCCTACCAGACTTTGGAGTCTGCTTTTGGGAAGAGGTTATGGGAAGTTAAGTAATAGGTATAGCCTTTCTCACTCTGTTTTCATTTGGTGAGTCAGGTAACTGACTCTACAGAATTGAAACAATTCAGGATAAATCCACTGATAGTGATGAGGAGTTCATTTGAATTAGTTGAAAGGATACGGGAACAATACTAATGTAAAAATTAGTACTAAGAGGGTTGTAAACACTGGGTCAGAATCTCTCAAGTGGAAAACAAATACAGTCCAAATGATTTTCCCTTTAGTGATACCAGTTTTCATAGAAATTACACAGCCAAATGAAAAAGTATGATTAATTCTGTTTAGACGATTTTTCTGCAGTAATGTGCACATCAGCTTGATGGCAAATGTCTTCAGGAAACAGTATTTAGACATATTGCATAATTAACATTAGTATGAAGTGAATGGTTGAGATAAATAAGATCTCTGAGGATATCTGCATTTTCAAACAAAACAATTAAATGAGACATCATTTGAATTTCTTTGTACCAGGGAGAGCATTAGTTAATACTGATAAAACTCATTGACATTTAGAGAAGAAAACACGCAATTTAAAAAGTCGAGAACCCGGTTTTTATTCCCATTCAAAGTTCAGCTTGTATTATAGAAACTGAAAAATGTACTGTGGAAAAAAAAGTCAATTTTTCTTTATTAACCAGCAGGAAAAGGTAAGTAGTTTATCATATTGCAATCAGGAGAACGTTTCTTCATTAGTCTAACTGAAAATTAACAGCCAATTTTTACCTAGTAAGATATACATTCCAATCAAGACGTTGCTATTATTATGAATAGTGTAAAAAGCCTATTTCGGAATCGGTTGATAATGGTGGTTGCTTTATTGCTGATAATGTAGGAGTTTTTAATTATATCCAGGATTATTTACTGTATATAAAAAGCAGAAAAACCTCAGTTTTCTGGATTAGACAAGAAAGAAGAGTGGAATTTGTAATACAAGTGAAAGGAGCCTTGGTAATAAGTTTATGGACAAGACTTCTACATGCAACTATTTTGTGCTATTTATAAAGTGTTTATTAATTTCTTTTCAGCCAAAATCCATGGCATTTAGTTCCAAATTTTGCATATAATTCTGCCTTGTGAAAACAGTTGTAGTTTTGCCATTAGCTTTAATGTCTGCAGATAAAACTCAGGCAGCCTCATAAGCAAGAAATCCATTATGCAAATTTTTTAGAAAGGCAATCAACTGAAAATGAAAATTCACTGTAAAATGTAGTAAAATGTCAAGAAGATTGACATTGAAGTATTATTGAGGATTAATGATTCAAATATATTTAAGTTCATTGAAAATAGGAGTATCCACTTTGGACTAAGGCATGTGGATAGAAGAGCATTAATTGTACGTGTAAAACAGTTTTTTTATGTCATGTACTTAAATTGAATAATTCCTGAAAGACTCTAGGGCATCTGAATAAATCTGATCTCAAAACAAATGCTCTGAGTGATAACTTCAGAAGGACAAACATATATATGTCTATATACAAATGTATGTGTATATAGTTTATATGTATCAATATTTAGTCTAATGCACTTTTAAAGATCATCACTATAATAAACTCTGGTTGCTCTTTGCAAGGTCTTAGTAGCCCTCCCATTTTCCCTCCCGAAGCAGAGACAAACGGAGAGAATGGATGCAGATCCCAGGAGCATCTGGGAGGTCTCTGCTTCACTAGGATGGAGACTGTTTCTCCAGGCAGTCTGCTCTATTACTTAAATGTTTTTAAACCTCTGGCTGTGACTTATGTCCATTACTCGTTATTTTATGGAGAGTGTATTCTTTCCTATTTGTGACAATATTTTCTGTATTTCAAGATTATTATATCTGTGAGAGAATTCTTCAGTAGACTGAAGTGATTGTGATCCCTTCATTCTTTTCTCAGAAGTACTTTTGTGGGCTCCCAATTTTTTTGTTGATTTTTTTTTTTGCACAGTATGCAAAAAGGAGGTTCATTTCTACCCATGAGACCTACTGAGTAGAGTGGAGTGGAAGCCTACTTCACTTCACTTCCCGACAGTGCTCCTGTTAACGTAATTCTGGTGAAATACTTGAATTGCACTCTGTTTTTTTTCCCGAACCACTACTTCATTTTGTTAAGGTTGCTTAAGTTCTAATGCCATCTCCAGTGAGCCTTACAGCTTCTCTTAGTTTGTCATTTGTAAATAATATTTGGAATAGATTCTTGCAGAAATCCACTTGATTCGTATCCTAAATTTGATAATGAATCACTGACAAGTACGAAGTCAGACTTACCAACCACTTAAAGATCTGCTTAATGTAGTTTTAGAGTTTAAGGGTTTTAAGTCTTTTTTTCATGACACATAACTGTGAGACAGTGCTTGCATTCTTAAAGCATGTGTGACATCTGCTAATTCTCCCTCTCTGTGCAGCTTGTTGCCCCTCAAAGGAGAAGTTTTCATTGATTTGACATTTGTTCCTGATAAATCTGTGTTCTGTTTCTGGTGTTTTTACCTTGGTTGAAAAATTATGTGTCTTGGAACTATTTGTTCATCAATTACTATCTGGGAACAGAAGACAGTCATTAGTCTGTAGTCCTCTGACTAGAGTCCTCCTCTTCCTTTTCTTTTTTTTTTCCTCTTTTACCTGCTTAAAGATTATTGTAGAAATACCCTTACAGTCCTCTAGAACCTTACCCATCCTCAAAACAGCTGGGAAAAGACAAAAGTTAACTACTTCAGAATTTTGCTGCATAGTTATGCTTTTGTATTTGTTTTGACAATGTTGAAAGCTTTTAATAAAACTGCTTTTTTTTTGTAAAATTGGATATTATCTTTGTTTTACTTGTTACATTTGGAAAATATCTATGAAGATGTTTTCCATACTATAAATGACACAAAGCATTGGTAAAAAAAGGTATTGCCATTTGAGTAAATTACAGTATAACATGTTCTAAAATGAAGTCATGTTTGCTTCACTTGACTGTAACCTTAAGCGTTTTATTAATGTAAGGGTAGCTGTCTTTTTCACTTCACAGAATTGCTTTTCCTTAGCAATTATAAGTTGCAAGGTCTACTGTTGATCATGTTCAAATTAATTTTATGACAGCATATGGTGAAAATTTAATGTGATTGTACTCATTTTTTGTACGTCAGTGATAGTGTATATGATACTAGTTCTTATTTCAAAAACCATGTTTAAACACTTTCATTGTAAGCTTCTACTCCTTGAATATAATTTATGTTTAAATGGTCAATAGTATTTAGGCATCTAGTACACTGATCTATTCAATAGACATGAAGTGGAAATTATCCCCTTAAAGACTTTTTAAAGGTGAAGTTGTAAATAAACAGTTTCACTGTATTGCAAGCAAAGACATTGATGCTGGAGTTTGTGGAACAGCGTAGTACTCAGAAAAATCAAGAGGAGCATAAAATTTGTTTAAAACACTGCCAGGAATATAGGAGAATCACTTACATTGGTGATTTCTAGAGTAAGGTGTCTTGAAGTGTCTTAATGTTTTATGTGTACTGACGTTTTTCAAGTCGGGCATGTATTTTTCACAAATTTGGAAAACCTGTTCCAGAAAAATCTGTTCATAAAATTAGTTCCTTAGAGATATTTTATTTTGTTAACTACCTCTTACCTATAAATTTTCACATCAGCATTTTTGTGTTACTCTAAAAAAAATAATAAAAAAATATTACACATTTCTAGTTAGTTATGGCAGAGCATTGCAGCTCTACGTAGCAGAATACAAGTTTGTGGTTAAGTAGGCAGCAAAAGAGTGAATTTAGATTTGATCTTTATCTCCCTCTAGTGACACATGCATTTTCTTTTAGACTTTTACCAGTGATGCCTGGAAGTTGTATTGTCATGAGTGTGTATACTGTCACCCATGTAACTCTTTTGGATTTCTGACCGGAATGTAAAAAGCATAACGTTTAAATCTAGTTTTCATGTTAAATGGAGATTTCCTTTCTGCTTTATAAAGACAAAAACTCACATTACTTGAATCTTAGGACAACCAATGCAAATCCAATGAACATTGCGTATACTAGGAAATCTTAATGTTTAGTGTATTGGCTTCTCTATTTTCATAATAGAGGTGAACAGCTTACAAATAATGTTTAAACTGGGTTAAATTAAAATGGTTTTGCTCTTAATGTTTAAAACTGATTAAACACAAAAGAGTTTGTTGAAAATTGCTGAAATCAATGCTGAAAATCGATTTATGAATTGAGCACCCCATAGTCATGGCAATACTTGGAGCAAATCTACTTATTTACCGTAAACATATGATTCTATGTTGATGAATTCTCAATAAACCCTAGAGCCTTTTCATTCTCTATGCAAATGGACAATGATTTTTTTTTAAAGAAATAGTTGGTATGTATAAAAAGGAATTTGGATCTCAGCATTTCACTTGTTCTTTTAATTTTGAAGGCACTCTGTTATAAAGATTGCAGCAGATCTGCATTCATGCTTATCTCAGATTAATTGTAGGATTGTGTTGATAGTGCAGTAGAAAGTACTGTATATATGCTTCCACTTGAAACTGTTTTTGGCAGAATCTACCTAGACATTTCAGCATAGTTCTGTGGATTTACTTTTTTTTTTGTAGATTAAAACTAGTTTCCTACCAGTATGTCTCTAAATGCTTTAAGGGAAATGGTGTTCTGTCCTTTAAATAAGCAATTAAAATGATGTCTCCAAGTAGTTTCCAGCCTCTTCAGGATTTTTGTTAGCTACTTTTCTGTAGCTGTCTATAGTATAGGTAGTTATGAAGAAAGAAAACTTGGTGCTATGTCCTTGGAGGCAAGTCATTTCTCTATGTTTGATCTCACTTGGACTTTCTCTGTTACAACAAATTCTGCACTCTGCGTTCTAGATCCCTACGAAAAGAGTCTTCCTTTCCTTCACTCACAAGATTTTCCTTTTTTGCAGGACTTCTTTTGCTGGGCATCTGGCGGGGATTCTTGTTGGATTGATGTACACTATGGGACCTCTGAAAAAGATCATGAAAGCCTGTGCAGGTATATAATTTTGCTCAGTTTGTAAAATCTGCAGAAGAGACAAATATTTTTAAAATTCAGTGAGTCTTGCATATAGAAATTCAGGCCATTCCAGCAAGTTTTTAGGCAATTAAAGATATGCTTGTTACTAAAGAGTGCAGAGGAAAAAGATTATAAGAACCACTAAATGTGTCTTTCAGATACTTTTACTTAGATGAATACCATTTATCCTTCTTTTTAAATGCTTATTTAGAGTAAAATGTTTCATATAAGATGTCAATAAAAATGCCACTTCAAATGAATTGTGGTGAAGCCATAAAAATATGCCAGAACACCGTAAGTTTCCATGTTGATTTCTACTACTTGTTTCCATTCTAGTGGAAGTCTCCACAGTTTGAAAAAGGTTGTGTGATGCTTGTGAAATTATTACTGCAATTCTCAAGCTTTCCAATGATGTAATACTACAGCTTTTCATATGTAGTAATGATAGTATCTTTAGACATCTTTAGTCTAACAGTTGTTTAAAATACAGCCCTGCAAACTTAATATGAATACTGCAGGAAATTTCAGTGCTTTAATTGGAAGTCTAAGCCCACAACAGCTGGTTGTCAGAATCCCTTTTTTTTTTCTGTGTTTGATCACTTAATGTGTTGAGTACTTTATTCATGACTCTGCCATTGACTTGACCATGGATATGGTGTTTGTTTAGTGGGAAATTATTTGTTCAGATGTGTATGCTTTTCACAGGAGGTTTTATCACAGTTTGATGGTACAGTCTGTAAGTCATATACTTTTAGCAGTTTTAAGTGGAAAAATAGGCTGGAGCATCAGATTTCCTACCCCACTGGAGTGAGCAGTCATAGTGTCACATTAATTAAATGTTAATATTGCATGTTTCTGTGGCGGGGAGGGGGGTATGTGTGTGGTTCTGATGACAATTAGGACATTTTAGGATCAGATCCTAAACTAGGATCAGACCTCACTGCCTAGTGAGGTCCTACAGTCTCCATCCTTGGATGTTTTTAGGACTTGACAAGGTAAAGCCCTGACTGAGTAACCTGGTCTGATCTCATAGCTAACCCTGCTCTGAGTGGCATTAGGGCTATGGGCCTTCTGAGGTCCCTTCCAAATTGAATTATTCTAGGATTCTGTGATAAAACCCATGGCACTGTTAGTGAAATATGTTGTGGAGATTCTGCTGCTGTGAATGTTGCTGTGTGACTAAGACCTAGAGGAAGGAGTGTTCCAGTGCCCAGGTCATCTTTTTCCTATGCAGTAGAGCAGAAACAGTGCAGTGTTATTCCACTCCTCAGTTTTCTGTGCTTTAACCCGTTTTTACCAATGTACGATCACAGTGCAGAAATTATTCATTATATTTTCTACAGAACATTTCTTAGGTTGGTTTGCATTTTTCTAGTCTACATGGATGTGTTGTTGAAATATGGCACACTGATATAAAATCTAGAACAACATAGAAGCTTGCCAATGCTATATTCTCTCACTGATGCAAAAAAATTTCATAAGTGCCAGTTGTTTCATATTTGTATCTTGCAAAAGAGACTCTGAAATAAAGGTTTAATTTAAAGTTGATTTTGTATTTTACAAACACATACAAAGTGATTATTTTATTATAATAGTACGTGTATTATTCTTATATTTAGGTGGCATTTCTTCATTTACTGACCCTGCCAGGCCAAGGGACTACTACTATTCAGGTCAGTACTCTCACCCACTTACCTGAAGACTTATTCCAGCTTTAAAAATAGGGACATCATTTTTGCTAATGATAGAAAACCTATAGATGAGGTAGTTAAATGGAAGCATATATGATATAAAAAATATTCTGCGCATATGTATACTTGCTAAATTTATTACTTCTCTGGTTATGTATTAACTTTCCTTTTTCGGGAACTGTGTGGTTGTATTTTTTGTACAAGAGGCTTTAAACCTCAAATGAAGGTCATGACTTCATAAAATGCCTCTCTGGGGAAATACCATTCCCTCTGCAGAAGATGCAGCAGGGAGGAAATTGTGTCTACTGAAAGCAGCCTGTTGAACCTTGATACATCTGCCCCAGTCTGGCAAATTTATCTGTTCCATTCTAGGATGGTTTTTTCCCCCCTCTGACAAGGAATTTCTTCTTTCGAACACAATTTACATGCAAAAAGCCCACTCCTTACCAAAATAGATTTAGGCTATCATCACAGCGTATAGATGGATAGTTGGAATACTGGCATACTTTGAATGTAGCGTGTTTGATTCACTTCTCATGCAGAACATTGAGTCATTTTATGTGGAGTGTATAGAAATAATAGGTGGAGGCCTTGTCTGGGAGGGAGAGAAGAGGAGCCAGCTGTGAGAAGGACTGTGCGTTGGATCAAAGCTACGGGATGTATGGCCTACTGTATCATATCTCCTGCGGTGATTTATGCTCTTTCCTAGACATCTGCTGTAAGAACAGGATAAATATGTAGTGATAACTCCTCGAATATCTGCCAGGGTGCGCTGGCTTGTGGCTTAAAGATGTTCTCAGCAGAAAGTTTTATGAGGGAATTTTGGCTTTAATAGCCTGTGATGGATTATTCTTCCATGAATATGTCAGAAGCTCTTTGAATTGGCATGAACTCTTTTAACACCTACAACATCACCGAAGAAGAATTTCACAACATGAACTCTTTTAACACCTACAACATCACCAAAGAAGAATTTCAGTTTACTTCCTGGCGCAGAATCTCTCATTTTTGTTTGTTTTGAACCTGCTAACTGCTAATTTCAATTGATGCACATTAATTCTTCTGTGGGAAAAGAAACCAAACCTTCATTCTTTATGCACTTTCTTCATGTTCTTTGTGGTTTTATAGACTTCAGTAGCATACTTACCAAAGTAAGCTCTTCTCTCTGGTTGAAAAGTTGGAGTGCGTATAGTTGCTTAAATGAAAACTATTTTGTATGTTTGATCATTCTTAATGTTCTCTGACATTTAGTCATGCAGGGATTTTTTTTATTTTTATAAACTTTTGAGATGTGCTTACTGTGCACCACAGTGAACTAAGGTTAGTGCTGCTTTTATTCTGTGGTGAATTTTGTCTTCCATGATGTACCTCCAATTTTAGCATTACGTTAAATAATATATCTGGAATTATGGAGGACTACATAGCACCTTTGTCAACTTTAGTATGCTGACAAGAAGGAAGCCTGGGGTTTTTTGTGTGTCTCAGGCAGACCCTGAGGTAGCCATGCTGTTGCTTTGACTTGTTTTGGACAAAAGGGAGATAAAGGAGAGGGTTAACCTGAATTATCCTGTCTTCCAAGCTTGGCTTTAGATGTAAATACATATTTACATATGTATTTGTACTTTATTTGTACTAAATTCATTTATCTAAAATGACTTAGACCTGCAATTTAAAAAAATAAATGTAGACTTATGTTCATTCCCTGTGTATATACTTTGCAATTGTCTTTCATCCCATTTGCAGAAGTCTTTATGGAAGGTGTAGCCTTTTGCTTGATATATGATATATATAATTTGGCCACCTGTGGATTAGGAAAACTCTCTCTAGTGTCATAGGCTAATGAGGCATATACAGTACCTCTTTACCTTGATTAATTTTTCATTTTCTGGTATTGCTGATATGTTAATATCTGCCTTTAAATACCTATTTAAAAGAAAAATAGACAAAGTTATCATCAGAATAGATTTTATGAAACAGTACAAGGAAAGAGCATTAGAAAAAATAAGTGTAATTTTAGCACATTTAGTAAATGAATTAGGGTTTTCTCTAAATGCAGTTCATGAATAAAGTATTAGGATGTTTATTTTGATTAATAGGAACACCTCTAACATGTTGATGTTACCGAACTGTTTCTCATTTTAAAATAAAAGATTATGGCTTTCTGAGCACTTACAATTTGATGACAGTGTAAACCATTAACTATACAAAAACTTACAGCAATAGAACAATCTTAAAATATTACATCCTTTTTCTTTCATCAGCTAATTTCATGCTTTTAGTACCAGAATTTTTATAGACTTCATGCATGCAGTTTTGAAATCACCAGAAAATAAACTTACAGCTGAGAAAATGTTCGTTCAGGTTAACGTAAGGAGAGGGGAATGAGGGAAATTTATGAAGATTGAATCAAAAGTGCAATATATAACAGCTAAATAGTATCCTGCAGTCAGTTTTATTTTTCAGCAGAATGATCTCTTGAATTTTCCGAGTATGACTGAAAGGCTTTTAAAGTTTCATAAAAATATGGCTGTAATTCATACAGATTAAAAAATACAAAAAAATCTTTTCTAACCAAAGGTGTTGCTGATCATTTGAGAAATGGCAGAATTTCAGGTTACTGGAGGTTAAGGCTAGGTGTTCACTGCAGATGTATGAAAATTCTCCCAATATTAGCTGTATGTTCCACAAAGGAAAAATTTGCAAACAGACAGAATTACAATTTTTTCATGTGTGTGATAATGTATATATGTATACATACATCTCTGTGCACATATATGTACATAAAATATATGGAGGTGTGTTTGCATAATACACAGAGGAATACATACACTCCTGTACAGAGTAGTGTGCAGTCACCCTGTTCAGTTTTTCCTGTATAACTTTAAGATAGGGTGTTGCTATATTTCTTTGTCTTAAGGTTCTTTAACACAATGACTTTTTAAAAAGAAAATATTTTTATATCCTCACTTCATAGTCTGTGCTTTTTAGTAATCACAGAAACTCCACAAGAAGTTTACACATGGAAGCCATGTAACTAGTGAGATAACACAAGGCTATCATTGATGCTAATAATCTGCAGATAAGGGAAATGGTGTGCTGTATTTGTTTCATACAAAAATATTTCCAATTTTTTCATTTTGAAAAACTTGTGTATGTTTTCAATCAGTTGGAAGAAACTGGCTACGTTTCTGTAAAACGGTTATTCAAAATTAAAAATTTCTGTAAAATGGTTATTCAGACCTCTTCCAGCTGTCTGGAAGAGAAATAAAAATATCACCCAAAGGTTTGTATTTTGAAGATGCAAAAATGGAATAGAAAAATGGGACTTTTCTCATTAATTTTTCAGTTAGGCAAGATCAGATTGTGGTAGAAGGAAGAGAGTCTTGTTCAATTCTCTAGCCAAGTAATTTTTTTTCTTTTAAATCCTATGTCTTTGAGTGGATGATGGTTTGTTCGTGCTTGTTTTTGACAAACTTTGCAAATGGTTAGAAATTCTTGCTTGTCAGTAGAGCAGGCAACGTACAGTGATTGTGACGTTAGGTGAGATCTACGGTTTGGTTGGGTTTTTCCAGGGCAGATGTAGCTGTGCAATAGCACTATATTAGCTGTATATATTACTGCAAAAATTTGCAGGAATCTTTTCCTTTGTGTTTTCTAGATCCAAACATTATTTGAATTTAGGATGGCATTGGCATGTATTGTTTATGGGCACTGGGGGGAAGGGACAGACAGGTGGGGAAAAGCCTGAAACCTACCTGGTTTTTTTGTTGCTGTTGTAGTAACCTTTATAAGGTGTCCAAGTATTGACAATTAAATGTTAAAAGGAGCTGATGAAAAGTCTTTCAATTTCCATGTGAAACTACTTAATAATGGTAATTCTAAGACACTTACTTATAACAATTAAGAAACCCCAAGATATTTGCTCCATCTTTTTTCTGTTGTTTTTCTCTCTCCTGTTACCATAGTCCGACTTTGTAAATTAAAAATTGATTCATGGCATGTCTTGTATAAGTAATTGAATCCTATTTGTTTTTCTTTCCCAAATTAAAATAATTTGTAGAAGAAAGATAGCATAGAGATAATATTTGATTTCAGTCTCCTTCTGTGTAGCAGCAGTTTATTTTCTGTATTTTGTATTCATTTTACAGACTATTATGACTATCCAGGTTACCAATACAGGACGCCAAGGAACTATTATGATTATACAGGTGGCCTCACTGAAGAAGAACAACTGGAAAGGGCAGTGCTAAACAGTCTTAATGAAAGAGGTAGGAATTTTATTGCATTTTATGGTTTAAGCTGCAATTCATACAAAGGCAGGGGAAGAATGTATTGCTTGTTATTTATTTTCAGTATTTTGGAGAACTTCAGAAGTGGATAAGTTTCCTGGTAGAATTTACAGAGAATGTAGTGTGAGGATGTAGCATCATTCTCTTAGTGTAATTACATTTATTCGTAATTGTTTACTATTTGATTACCTTAGTTACTACTGTAGTAAAAGGAATCTTTTGATAACAAAAAACCCTTAGTAAACTTGTTTACTGAGTTTGCCAAAAAAATCTTACGATACTCTAAAATGCAGTATGAAGTGGTATAATAGAAGAATTGATGTTGCCAGCACTTAAACTTTGTGTGTATATTTTTACTTTGTATACAAATTTATACAATTTATACAAATTGACAATGTACTGATGATTACTTTTCACTGTGTCCTTAAAGGAAGCTTATATTCTAGCTAGCTGAAAGACCTAAAGAAAAAAAAGATAGAAATTTTTAGAAAGAAAAATGGTGATTGTTTGAAATTTACTAGTTAAATTAGTATGCATTCATTAGAATACATTTGATCTTTTTATAATGCAAGTGAGACAAGAGGGGGAAAAATAACTTTTGTAAAATCTATTACTCAGCTTCTGAAAACTTCAAGACTTGAGGGAAAGTCTGATCAATAGGACTGACAGCACATTACTAGAACATCACATGGAAAATTTCCATCACTCAGTTATGAAAATTTTTTTTATATTGAAGTGATTTATGTAAATATTTAAATTGAAAGAGGGGAGATTTAGATTAGATACTAGAAAAAAATTCTTTACTGTGTGGGTGGTGAGGCACTGGAAAAGGTTGCCCAGGGAAGTTGTGGATGCCCCATCCCTGGAGGAGTTCAAGACCAGGGTGAATGGGTCCTTGCCCATGGCAGGGGGGTTGGAACTTGGTGATCTTTAAGGTCCCTTCCAACTCTAACCATTCTTATGATTCTATGATAAAATAAAGGGCAGAAATGAACGCAGTATGTGTTTTCTGATATTCAGATAGTGGTTTTTTTTTTTTTTTTTTTTATATCAAACCTTACTTCCTCTTTAATCTGTTGCATGTCAGTATGGATTCCTTTGGGAATTCAGCCAAAGGCTTTAGGTGCTCCTTAACTTAAGAAATCTGTACTATTTCTTTTAAATTTGGTGAAGCTGTAACATTTAATCTTAAAAAAAAAAACAAACCTGACTGAATATCTATTGATGTAATTTGCCTTCTTTTTCTTAGTCTTGGTATTCTATTGCACTCCCCGGGTGCAAGAACGTGTTCATTAGGAAAAAGATAGAGAAGCCTCTACTTGTAACTGCAAGACTTAAAATGCAGAGCACCATTCATAAATTTCAGCTCAGAAAATTAACTTACACCACTGTGTTATGGCTGTCAGAGAAATACCAGGCAAAATATGAAAATGGGTATCTTGACAAATCATCATCACTTTTACTTTCACACCTTCTGTGATCCTATTTTTTATTACGAAGAACATGTCATGTTATCTTGAAGATAGTTTTTAAAAGGCAGCAGATGAGGCAAGATTGTGATAGGAAAAGGCTTTTCCAGTTTGAGAAATTCATTAACATATATTTTAAAGTAAATACAGCTTTTTGCTTTATTAAGTTTGCATCTATTGTGAGAGTCACCTGGGAGGCAGAAGTGCAGACTTTTAGGGAAATTAGGGGGACTTTAAGTGATTTTTTTTTTTATTTTATTTTTAGTTAACTTCAATTTTGTGTTTACCTTTGTTATTTAAGTGTAGTTCTGTCAACTTTCCCTCAACATTGTGAAGCTAGAAGCTTAACAAAAAATACATTCTCTGCAGCAAAATTATTGTAATATATTTGTTCTAGAAATGATTGCAATCTGAGCAGTCCCCATTTCAATGAAACTGTACTGAAAACTATAGAAGATAGTGACAATCTTAGCTTTCAATTAAATCATAAAATAGCATTTAGTCCATCTGGTTTGTCAGCAGAAGATAGTGAATTAGTTACTGTTCATGCTGTCTCAGGAAATTTTAAAAATTAAAAAAGTCATATCAATATATTATCCTGTGTAAGTACTAGATTTTGGGAAGGACTGGGTCTAAAATGAGCTTTATTGTAAGGCATACTTTTTATTTTACTGTCTTTTTTAAATGACATTTTACATCATTTTTAACATGAGTTTTAAAGAGAAATCCTTTAAAGTTTTTAATACTAAGAGTTTTGAAATGTTATCTTCAAGAATGAGCCATATTTATGGTTTTTTTGAAACTACCGAGGAAACAGAATACAAATAACAATGAGTGAATTGTGATAATACAAATAACTAGATAGCACACACTTTAAAGGCTTTCATATATCAGTGTGGAACACCTGCAGCTTTCATTTGTAGCCTTAAATAATCTACATCACTATTGGTAAGTATTTCTTGTCTGCTTGTTGTTTTTGGACAAAGTTTTCAATTGTAAGTGGAAATATTTTCTTATTTGGACAATGCCCTCTGACACATGAGAGAATTTAAGTAGCATCTCTAAGTATATTTAACTGGTAGATAACTGGCATACCAAGTCACATTTTTGACTACTATTTGAGACAGCAGCATTTCTTAAGACTATGATAGTGCCTGCTTTCATTCCTAGTTACAGTTTTTAAGCCTCACAGATAAGTGAAGCAGGAAAATGTGTCATTGTATATTGTTTCAGATACAGTTTGGTGTCATCAAAGATATATAGATGTTGACTTCAGTGGTTTCACAGGAGTGCTTTAATTTTGCATCACTTTCTTCTACCTGCTGGAGCACCTTAGTATGGAAAAGCAAGACTTCAGAACTGAACTCTTAAAATACTTCTTTAAACAAGCTGCTTAAAAGTTAAGCTTCCCTATAGGCAGATACTTCATTTCCCAAAGAAGGTAATATAGAGCATATAATTGATCATACGTGTTTTAGTGACACAAAGGATGAGCTTAAATCTACTGTGCTAATGAGCAATTAGGATATTCTTCCCTGTCAGTTTGAAAAATAATTAGCTTGAATGAGCACTGTCCTTTGAACGCAATACATTTTTCCCTAAAGCATGACATTCACAGTTGCTTGCAATTACATGGATGAAGATGTACTTAACATGACTAAAATTTACATAAAATAATTTGAAACAGGTAGCTAAATGGTTGTAAGATCAGGTACCACATCTAAAATTTAGGGCTCTCTTTCCTTAAAATTTTTTTCCTATTTTTTCCCAGCCATGATATTTATACCATCATAGTTGCTCTGTAGCTTGGACAAAAAACATATTGCAATGATTTCATAAAATCATAGAATGGTTTGGGTTGGAAGGGACCTTAAAGATCATCAAGTTCCAACCCCCCTGCCCTGGGCAGGGACACCTCCCACCAGACCAGGTTGCTCAAACCCCATCCAGCCTGGCCTTGAACATCCCCAGCAATGGGGCATCCACAGCTTCTCTGGGCAGTCTGTTCCAGTGTCTCACCACCCTCACTGTAAAGAATTTCTTTCTAGTATCTAGTCTAAATCTCCCCTCTTTCAATTTAAAACCGTTATCCCTCATCCTATCGCTACATTCCCTGATAAAGAGTCCTTCCCCATCCTTCCTGTAGGCTCCCTTCAGGTACTGAAAAATTTAAATTGATTGTTTTTTTTCTTAGTTGGGCAAATGCGTTTATTAGGGTTTTCAGGCTACAAAATGTACCATTACAGATTTTGAGTATTGATTTGTTGAATGTTCTTATAAATTACTGTGTATTAGTATTCTAGTAAGCTATTAAAAGAATCACTGGCATAGTACAGAATTCCCTGGTGTCAGTTGTTCACAACTGAACACCAATTTGTGTTAAGATGTGCATCAAATTTAAACTCAGTAGTTACTTTTCTGTAAGGTTAAGCTGCCATAACGGTACTGCTTTTCTACTTATTCCACAGCCATGCATTCCTGAACTGCAATTCTATTTTTATGCCATATCCTAAAAAATTCTTAAATAATAATAATTACTGGTATGTAATGCAACAAAGGAAATTACTGAGCTAATGGGATTTATGTAGACACCAGTTTTAAGACTATCAAACTCTCAAAATTATTTAGGTCTGTTTACTAAAAGGAACTGTTATATTCGTTCCATTCCCAGCTTTAGATATGTTGTTGTCTCAAACAAGAATCAGTTTGAACACCGTTAAGCTTTTTTTTTCTCCAAAGGTTTGGTAGTTTTTGTTTTTGTTTTTTACTTATTCTTGTAATCTATATTGGTTACAAATTGCAATAATTCTTCCTTTAGGTAAGTCAAGAAAATAACTTCGTGTTTAAAAAAATCATAGCCTTTGATATTTAAACTATATGGTTGCCATTTTTGTTTAATACTAGTATTAGCAGCCATCCTTAATGTAACCCCAGTATATCATATCTCTTATCTCTTATTTACTTGGTATTCTGCTCTGAAGAAATACTTCAATTAGTGTAGGATGTGGATTTGGATGTTTGTTATGGTGGGTGTTAAGATTTTTTTGTGAGTTGAACTTCTAAGTGTCTGTCTCTCAATCTCAATAATGTTAAGAATACCTTGCAAGTTCATGGAATGTTCCTCCTTTTCTTAAGACTAACTTCTTTAAACATGCACGTCATAGTCTTTATAGTTTGTGATTAAGGAGAAATACCTATAAGTACACATATATAGATATTCCTCTTATATTTTATAGTGAATCCATCTGTCTATGCATTTCTTTAGTTCCAATTTAAAACAAAACAAAAAACCCCAACCCATCCACTTAAAGTTTTTAGATGGCCAAGTATGGGCTAGTCATAAGTATATTTGTGGTGTATTTAGGAAATATCTAGACATCTGGCTGGCTTGTTCTCTGAATTTTTAAGAGTTCCCATTTCTGTTTCCTTCTACTGAGACTGGAATTCTATTACTAGTCTATGAAATTTGCCAAATCCATGGAACATTGCAGTAAGAATGAAACCGATGTG